AAAAACATCAGCAGATCTAGGGATCCGGCTGGAACAGCTGGGGCAGCTGGCTGCTATGGGTCGGCTCAGTCCTGCAAAGCGATAGCTGGCTTTAGAGCGATTGTTAGACCCGCAGCTGGCCTCCAAAGCGCGGCTGATTCTTGGAGCGAGAGTGGGCAAAAGTGAGCTGCACCAATTACCTTTGAGGTCGGCTGGGACAGCTGGGACGGCGGTTGGCAGGCAAAGTATTGAATCCAATCTACTACTACTGACATTATTGGGGCCACAATTCCCACATGTGTGGGCAGGGCGCTCCGAGCCAGGAGAGCCCAATTCTTCATGACTTGCAAGGCTTTGCAGGCATTGATGACAATCATTGCCTCTCCGCTGCTTCCATCCTGAACTTTTGCTGCCAAATCAGCCACACCTTTCAAGTGGCACAGAGGCGTCAACTCCCAGATAACCTGGGACCGAACAGCTTCGGCAGTCTCCCCAGACCAACGCCCAAACCATCGGCTGTAGGTGCCGTTCCTCAACTCCCAACATTGAAAAAAATTACTAGCGACACAGGCAAACTGCCAAGCTTACTGCACTACAAGTGAAGAAATAAGCGTAAATCTGCTGAGAAACCACGGTTGGGCGGATGTTTGCCCATCATCTGCAGAAATGCCTCCACCAAGGCGTCCCAATGCGCGAAGAGACTCAGCAAAGTGAATGCGCATGAGGTTCTGGCCTGGAAGCGCCAGCAAGTGCAACCTCAATGACTCAAGAGCATCGCTGGGCCACCTCTGAGATTCTTTCAATTGGTAATCAAATTCCTGGCGAGTTATTAAAACCCAAAAACAGGGCCAAACTCTATGAATTCATGATTGTTCCCAACAAGACACTCCATTAGAAAAAATCAGATGCTGCCACTCATCCCTGCCACCCACACCCACCACCACCACCACCACCCCAGCCGCCGCCACCACCACCACCCACCACCCACCACCCACCACCTGCCACCCAGCCCCCAGCCTAAGCCCCTGCCTCCACCCATGATGAAAGCCTTCCTGATGACCAGTAAACAGTAGTATCCTGTCACAATGTGAACCCTGAATATGACCTATCAGCTCAATAGGAATCTGAGGGCCAATAACCTTTCATAGCAGTTATCTGACCCTTCAAACATCCAAATATGACTCAAAGGGGCGTTGCGGTGATTTGAAGGGTCCCTCCCCAGGCTGGAGGTATTATTTGCTGGTCGAGGCACATGTCTACGTCGACTTTCCACTCAGCCTTGCTCCGAAGGGAGGAGAAAATGAACTCCTTCTTCAGAGAGCCATCCAGGAATTGAGCTGCGATGGACAGCACGCTACTCAATCGGAGTTGAGCAACATCGCGGTTGGGCCGAATGAAATGCACCTGCCGGCCACAAAAACTGCCACAAACAAGCTAAGAGTGGAAGAAAAGAACTCGAAAGCGGATACTCCCATGTTTTGTGTGAAGCGGCCAGGCCTTTCCTTTCCTCTTCACTTTGCGGGTTGGAAGATAAGCTTTGCGCTCCCCAACGCCCCCCAGTGGAACGGAAGAACTCCACGAGAGCAGCGACCAAGTTGAAACGGCTGCCTGTGGAGTTTGCAAACTCAGCCAGCCACTCTGCAAACCTGCCACAGAACACAGGGCATCCTGACTTCGCATGCAATTGGATTCTCTGCTGCCACTTGAAGCACATGACGTGACCACAGGTCAGTGTGTCTAGCTGAAAACGTGCCTTCTTTGGCTAACTCAGTCGGTCAGAGGTCATATCAAAGCGAGACACAGTGGACTGCGCAAGTATGTGGCCATGATCACACATCCGAACTGCTCCAAGGCATCCAGCCGCTGGCAACCAGAGCACTGAAGAAGCTTCTCCAAAGCAGCCGTGATCTTATCCGAGCCTTGGCGTGAAGGAAAGGGAAGGAAAGGGAAGGAAAGGGACCGACCGAAAGGGCAACCAAAGGAAACAGGTTGCCGTATTCCAGGCTCTTCAGCGCAACAATACCTGGAGCCAGAAACCGTTCTGTCCATAATTGCTACCACCCACTTCTGATGCTGAGTAGCAGCTGCTACCATGAGTAGTCAGTGGATGAGGCTGCAGCACTGCAAAAGACACCACCCCTCATGGTTGCCAACTAGTATACTATGACTACTCCAGTTCAGGCATGGCTGCGAGGATGCCCCTTGAGAACACCAATTCCCCATGTTCCAACCGCATTGAACGGTGTTGGTGTTTGCCTTGCCATTGACAATCAAGAACAATTTGCTGTTCTGCAATTTTACGAAATCATTGGTTTGGGTGTTGGCGCAATGTAAGAATGGTGGTTGGTGATGGCCTGTTGCTGAACAGTTTTTGTACTGTGGTTGACCGTTGCCCACATTCAAAACATTGTCTGTTGTAGCCATGCCAGTTTGTAAGGGGCCATGTGGCTGCATGGTGGCTTTGGGGAAATTCATATTGCAATACAAAAATGAATAACTATTGTCAGCTTGCAAGCAATCTGTAAGAACATTTCATACTCTCCATGCCCAAGTTGCCACTGTGCTTTGACACAGGATGCAGGAATGATCCCTTGCAGGCCTGCAAGAAGGTTAGGCTCTGGCCCTCCATCCGAAGGAACGGGTTGTTCCGGTGAAGGATCCTGGCCACAAGGCTCTCATCTTCCTGGCCAAATATGGGTGAACTCTCAGGCAAACCTATCAAAGGGCAATGACTGCTGTTCCAACTTCTCACA